CCCCGCAGCAGATGCTGGCGCGTCCGGCGGGGAACCAACGTGGCTGACGGGGACTCTGCCGTCCCACCGGAGAGCGGCCCAGGCAGGGCCCCCCAGTGCTAGGCCTGCTACGGGGGGAGAGAGGGAGGGGGAGTTTCACCCCCAGAAACCAGCACCCAGCTCCCAGGCTGGAAGGTGCCAGCCACCGGCCTGTCTCTCTTGCACTTGCAGCCTGGAGCCCAAAGCTGCTGGGACACCGGGCAGGCTCCCCCGCCCCAGGGACAGAGCCCTCAGCACCTGCCTAAGGGGTTTAGGATCCCTGGCCCAAACACAGCCCGGCGGGTGGGTTACCTAGGAGCTTCTCCGCCAGCGTGGTCAGCTGCTCGATGCTGAGCCCCCGCTTGGTGGTGGAGGAGAACTGCCAGCTCAGCACCTCGGCCACCTGGTCCCACGTGCCGATCGGGGGCTTGGTGAAGAAGTTCACGTTCTGGGAGGGAGGGGGAAAAACAGAACCTGCCTGAAGGCAACGCAGAGAGCGCCCGAGAAATGCGCCCGCAGGCGCTACCGTCAGCCCAACGGGGGAGGCTGCCTGGCCCTGCCTCGCTTGCCTCTGCCACCAGCGCACGAGACCTCAGGCAAGCTGCTGCCTCGCTCTGTGCCTCAGTTTCCCTGCTCTCTCTTGGCGGGGTGGCCAGGAAGCTCAGGCAGCGAGGAGGGGGTCTGTGCAGTGCGCCAAGGGGCCTGATCTCAGCTGGGGCTCCTAGATCACAGCACTGGCAGAATTCTTGCCACTCTAGCCCCCCGGCAGGGGCCTCCAAGTGCCTGGGGAACCGACAGGCCATGCAGCCTGTGACACCCCCCACGCTGGGCGTGTTGCGCCCGCAGGCCGAGTGGGAGGAGGTGTCACATGGTCAGCCCCATGCAGCTCTGCTCGGCAGATGCCCTCGGGAACAATCCCCCACCTGTCCCCTGGAGGCCCTGCCGAATCCACCCCCCGCCCCAGGGGCCGCACACACACCTTGGGGTTGTTCGTCAGCATGTTGTACCACAGGATGGAGGCCCAGGCGTTGGGCATCTGGCAGATGTTGGAGATGACCACGACAGGCAACGAGTGGGTCTAGAGAGACGAGACGTCACGTCATTGCTTCCTTAGACCCCCACCCCAGACACACGCACCGACCCCGTCGCCCGGGCCAAGCCCCGCAGCGGCCGCGCCCACCATGGTTCCCTGGGCAGCCTGCCGCGATGTGAGCACAACTTCGTCTCTAGTGCTCCTTGCTGCCACCCCGACGGCTTTGCCCAGCGCAGAGCGTGCAGCAACCGCCTGACCCTTCACCCACCCCTTCCTGAGGAACCGCGTGAAGGCCCCCCCATAGGGAGCCACGGCGCTCCCCGGGCCCGCCACAGAGCCGCCACGGTGCTCCGCCTACCCACTAGAGAGGCATGGTGCCCCACCTAATTCTCCTCCTGCCCGCCACAGAGCCGCCACGGTGCTCCGCCTACCCACTAGAGAGGCATGGTGCCCCACCTAATTCTCCTCCTGCCCGCCACAGAGCCGCCACGGTGCTCCGCCTACCCACTAGAGAGGCATGGTGCCCCACCTAATTCTCCTCCTGCCCGCCACAGAGCCGCCACGGTGCTCCGCCTACCCACTAGAGAGGCATGGTGCCCCACCTAATTCTCCTCCTGCCCGCCACAGAGCCGCCACGGTGCTCCGCCTACCCACTAGAGAGGCATGGTGCCCCACCTAATTCTCCTCCTGCCCGCCACAGAGCCGCCACGGTGCTCCGCCTACCCACTAGAGAGGCATGGTGCCCCACCTAATTCTCCTCCTGCCCGCCACAGAGCCGCCACGGTGCTCCGCCTACCCACTAGAGAGGCATGGTGCCCCACCTAATTCTCCTCCTGCCCGCCACAGAGCCGCCACGGTGCTCCGCCTACCCACTAGAGAGGCATGGTGCCCCACCTAATTCTCCTCCTGCCCGCCACAGAGCCGCCACGGTGCTCCGCCTACCCACTAGAGAGGCATGGTGCCCCACCTAATTCTCCTCCTGCCCGCCACAGAGCCGCCACGGTGCTCCGCCTACCCACTAGAGAGGCATGGTGCCCCACCTAATTCTCCTCCTGCCCGCCACAGAGCCGCCACGGTGCTCCGCCTACCCACTAGAGAGGCATGGTGCCCCACCTAATTCTCCTCCTGCCCGCCACAGAGCCGCCACGGTGCTCCGCCTACCCACTAGAGAGGCATGGTGCCCCACCTAATTCTCCTCCTGCCCGCCACAGAGCCGCCACGGTGCTCCGCCTACCCACTAGAGAGGCATGGTGCCCCACCTAATTCTCCTCCTGCCCGCCACAGAGCCGCCACGGTGCTCCGCCTAACACTCCACCTGCCCACCAGAGGAGCCTGTGCTCCCCCAGGCCTGGCCAAGCCAGTGGAGAGGCCTTTATCTGAGGGGGAAGCCGGAGGCCCTCTTCCCAGCTGGGCGGCCCACTCCCTTGCTCCCACCAAGAGGGGCAGCTGCGCCCGGCAGCCATTCCCACAGGACTCACCTCCAAGTCGATCTTCAGGCCCTGGTGATAGACCTCGGTCTCGAAGGTGATGAGGTGCAGCTCCTCCGTGACAATCAGGGAGGCCTGGGAGGACAGGGAGGCCGTTCAGGGGATGCCGGCTATTCA